CCTGAAGGCTTCTTTGGAGAAGTCTCTCACCTCCGTGATTATGTTTATCCATGATATTTTATTGTTTGATGCTATTGCAAATCAAGGTGTGCCTATGACTTGTCTCTCTTAGTGTCTTTGTTGTTGCTGTATAAAGACTTTACGGTTTTTCCAAGTTGATTTTAAACCCTACTACTTTGCTGAAATTGTTGATTATTCCTAGATGTTTACTGGTAGAAGTTTTGGGATCTCATATCATATAATTTAAAAATAGGGATATTTTGATTTATCCTTTTCTACTTGTATCCCTTTAATTTCCTTCTTTTGCCTTATTGCTCTGGGTAGTGGTTCCAGAACTGTATTAAAAAGGAATGGGATAGTGGGCAGGCCTGTCTTGTTCCTGATTTTAATGGAATTGCCTCGAAATTTTCTCTAGTTATGATAGTATTGTCTGTGGGTTTGTCTTGTACAGCCTTTGTTATGTTGATGTATATTCCCTCTGGTCCTGCTCTCTCTAGGAATTTTATCATAAAGGTATGTTGGATTTTGTCAAGAGTCTTTCTGCATCTATTGAGATGATTATATGATTTTTATCTTAAGTTCATTTATATTATTATGTTTATTGGCCTTAGTATGTTGAACCAACCCTGCATTTCTGAATAAACCCCACTTTATCATAATGGTCTTCTTGATATGTCCTTGGATTTGGTTTGCTAGTATTTTACTGAAGATGTTTGCATCTGTGTTTATCAGGGCTCTCCATGTGTAGTTTTAATTTTTGTTATTGTTTTGTCTTAACCTGGTTTGTGTATTAGAGTGATGCCAGCTTTGTAGGAGTTTGGGAGTGTTCCTTCTGTTTAGTTTTCTTCTTTCTTCCCTCCCTCTCTCCCTCCCTTCCTCCCTCCCTCCCTTCCTTCCTCCCTCCCTCCCTCCCTTCCTTCCTTCCTTTCTTCCTTTCTCTCTCTCTCTCTCTCTCTCTCTCATAGTTAAAGAAGGATCAGTTGTTTATCTTCTTTGAAAGTCTGGTAGGTTTCCACTATGAATCCGTCAGGCAGGGCCTGGACTTTTTGTTAGTAGGCTTTTTTGTTGCAAGGCTTTCCCCACCTTGTTTCAATCTTCTTTGTTATGGAGCCTTTCTGGTTGTTGATTTCTCGGTTTAACTTGTTACTTTGGATGAATAAAGAAATTCATCAACTTGTTTTAGATTTCCCAACATAATGAAATCACAGCTTTTAAAGTTCTCCCGTATTATGTGTTTCTTTCATATGATTCTGTTTATTTGAGTCCTCTCTTTTGATTAGTTGGGTCAAGGGTCTATCAATCTTGTTAATTTTCTCAAAAAAAAAAAAAACCCTAGCTCTTAGATTCATTGATACTTTGTATTATTTTGTTTCTATTCATTAATATCTATTTTGATTTTTATCATTTATTGTTGTCAACTAGGATTCAATTTGGTTTGTTCTTGTTTTTCCAAATCTTTGAGTTACATCATTAAGTTACTTATTTGTGTTCTTTATGATTTTTTTAATGTAGACACTTAGAGGCACCAATTTCCTTTACAGAGCTGCTTTTTAGTGTGTCCCAGAGAGTTTGTTATGTTGTGTTTTCATTTTGTACTATGATTATTTTAATTTCTCTCTTGATTTCTTCTTTGACCCAGTCATCATTCCTTCCAGTAATGAGTTGTTTCATCTCCATGAGTCTATACATTTACATACATTTATTAGAGATTTATTGGCCATAGATTTTAACTTTTATTGCATAATGGTCAAATAGAATACGTGGGATTCCTTCTTTCTTTTTTCTTTCTTGTTTTCTTTTCTTCTTTTGTCTTTTCTTTTGCTAATGTTTGCTTTGTGGTCCAGCATGCGGTCTGCTTTAGAGAAGCTTCCGTGTGCATCTACACACAGATGACAAAAGTGGACTCACACTTGTACTTACTCATATATTTGTATGCACATAGGTACATATAACAATAATTAAAAAAAAAAAAAGGAGCTACCAGTGAGAGGCTAGAAGGGGACATGGGAGTGTCTTACATAGGGTTTCTATTGCTGTGATGAAACACCATGCCCAAAAGCAGGCTGGGAAGCAAAGGGTTTATTTGACTTGTATTTCTCATTGCAGTTTATTATCAAAGGAAGTTAGGGTAGGAACTCACAGCGGGCAGGAACCTGGAGGCAGGAACTGATGTAGAGACCATGGAGGGTACTGCTTACTGACTTGCTCAGCCTGCTTTCTTACAGAACTCAATTGGGCCCTTGCCCATCAACCACTAATTAAGAAAATGCCCTACAGTTGGATTCTATGGAAGCATTTTTCTCAGTTAGGTTCCTTCCTTTGATAAAACTCTAGCTTGTGTGTCCACTTGACATAAGACCAGCCAGCACAGAGGGGTCTGAGAGAGGGCAGGTATGAGGGGCCAGAGGGAAGAAAGGGAGGAAGGGAGCAGATGTAATTAATTCTATTTCAATTGACAATACATTTACAGAGTAAACAAATTCCACATATAGCCAAAGAAAAAAATAGGACCAGATTCCTATGTGACATTCTCTTTTATTCTTCTCTTTGCTTCAACATTGGTTGTTATGTGTATAAAAGTCACAGAATAAGGTGTATAATAAGTCACAGCTTGATTTTTTTGGCTAAGTATGTATCTCTCATATGTGGGTACAAAGAAGGTCTATTTGTACTGTGCAATTAGGTTAGAGCTGCAACCTTCTGAGTTGGAGTTAAAACCCCTTCCTACTCTGCTCCTGAGGAGCTGTGTGTGGGCAGTCTCCTCAGCAATTCAAGACTGCATCTGTTGAACCAGTACAACACTGATGTTGCTATAACTTACCAGCCCCCGGGGGAGATACAGTATGGTACTTAGGAGGGAATCCAAAGTTGACTGTGGTTCAGTGTGAATTTAAATCTCGTTTTGTGAAGTTCAGCTAAATTAACAGATAGAAATGCGGTCATTCCGTAAGTAAAATTTCTTAAACATGCTAAGACGGACCCATTTTTGTCGTATGCAGTATACCTGCTTTCTTCTTATTTGTAAAGTATTTATTTTCTTATTTTACTGTTTTGAGAGAAAAAATACATTTTGCTCACTTTTTCTGTAAGCAATTCTCCACACCCTTTTCTTTCCCAGCAGCAGATCATTAGCACTCTTTTTCTTTTTTTCTTGAAATGGTTGAAAGTGTCTTAATGATCACTGAATCTGGAGTCCTGTCTTTTACAGATGAAACTAAAGTCCACAGAACTCAATAGTCTGACCTCTGGCCACATAGCTAATTTATCACAAAATTATTACAATGTAGATACACTATTCTTCCCAACTCAAATTCTTTTTTGGTGAACAGATGCCTGGATTCGGTTCTTATGTCCTAAGTTCACATGCTTAGCTTTTTCTAGAGTCCATTTTCAGTGTGCTTTTTCAAATTAAAATTAACGTATCAGAATTAAAAACCCACAAGCCTCAATATAATAGGTTGTATTTAAAATATAGCTTCATATGCAGCTCAGATTCTCACAGTTGGTTTCTTATTTGATGATTTTGATCTTCGCATTTAAACATGGAATTTACTGACCTAGTTTCAAAAATATGTTCAAAAGCTACAGATATTTTTGAGAAACTATTTAAGTATTTTCATCTGTTCTTGTAGATGGTTTATTGGGATTTAAGTGATTGGCCCACATAATTTTCCTATCTAGGTATTTGGTGGAATGGCACTGATTTCAAACAAGACCTGTTTGATGGCAAATTATTGGGAGCTGAAATACTCTTCATCAGCACAAAGCTGAGAAATTTGTGCCTAAGATTTCCATGGTTACTAGGACCCCTACTTTCTAATATAAAAGATTCTCAAGGTATGGAGAGGGAGCATAGCCATGCCCAGAAGTGTTCTCTTCTGTTAAGAGACATACTATGGGATTGCGAATATGTCTATAGGCATATGACCCTGAACATGCCATATCTCATCTGAAATTTGGAAGATAGTTATATAAAAATAATAACTCAATGCTGAAAGAGATGTTTTACATTTTAGAAATATGGAAAAAAATCTGTGAACTTCCTAATTTGTAAAATTTGCCTAGGAGAGCTGATGTCAGGTTAAATGCATCTTCTATACTCGTTTTCTAGTCCATTTTTTGTTTCAAAAGCAGAATCCCTTGAGGCTGAATAATTTATAAGAAAATGATCATTTAACCCATAGTTTGGTAGGCTGAAATGTCAAGATCATTGTCCTATCTATTTGGCTCCTGGTTGGAGCCCCTTGTACATCACAACATGGTGGGGAGCATTATGGTAGGAACCCATGCAAGACTATCAGCTCATGGTGAGACAGGAAGATAGATAGATAGATTCGGGGCTAGATTTGCTCTTTTGTAATAGCTCTCTCTAAGAACTAACCCATTCTCTTGGATCAGTATTAATATCTTTAGTGATAGTTACATTTGTAACCTAATTACCTTGCATTACAGACTTAATCATGTGACGAGTCCTTAAAATGCCTACAAAGTAAGAACCTACTGTCGATGGTACTGGGAGATTAGCTATATTAAATCAAATAATTCTTGTTGTTATTGAATATCTGTTTTCATTATGCTTATTATTATAATTAGTATGCTTTATTTTAATGATAGGATAATGCTATACTAATGCAAACAAATAAATATGAAGCAAATCTTCTAGGGGACAAAAGCCAAGACGTCCTCAGACAGAGCGTAAGCTCTGTATAAACGGATGAGTCACCCTGACTAGACGGCCACAGTAAAGAGGCTGTGGAGTTGTATATATAAGGGCCATGTCACCTGGAAGTTCGTGTTTATCATTCAAAGCAGGGCCAGTAGGCAGCGTTTGACCATGTAGGCATCCGTTATGCTTAGCCGACAACATAACGTTGGTACCTGGAGGGAACTAGAGGGCTAGCAATTGCTTTAGCTATGTTATCTATACATTACATTTGTTTACAAAAACATTAATTGAAATTGTTGCACAGTGATGTTACTTATGTCACCTTGGTTTTTAGGTTGATTGGGGTCAGCTGGACTATTTAGTTGTTGACATGCCGCCGGGAACAGGAGACGTGCAGTTATCAGTCTCACAGAACATTCCCATTTCAGGTAAATCCTAAAAGGTGGATTTGTTCTTCCTTTGATGTATTGCTGTATACATAGAAATAAACTAGATTGTCGACAAATTTTTTGTCTTAAAATTATTTATGGATTGGTTGTTAGAGATCAGAATTATGTATTGAAGCTTTGATGATAAATATGTATGTTTATAAAACAAATGTATTTTTAAAGGTGATAATATAAATCTATACTCTAGAAAAATTGCAGAATTTAAGTATATTTAGGTAAATCATGGTTATTTGGCTATGCTGACAAATTGTTCAACTCTTAACAGCAAAGTGCTAACAAACAACCAGAAAATATTAAAGAAACCGATGAGGAGTAAATGGTAGGAAAATTGGCTTTTTGGCAAATGTAGTTATGGGAAATTTTTATATTCTGCTATATCCCTAGTTTTAAAGTCAAGAAAATAAATATAATGGCTTCTTTGGGCAAGTATGCAAGGTTTTAATATCCTGTATATGTAATTTAGAAATTAGTGGCAATAAACTCTTTTTTTTTTAATTCATTTCTAACAATTTCTCTGAAACAGTTGCAAATGTGTTCATGTGCACACACACATTGGGCTTCTAGGAAGATAATGAAAACTTAAAATATGTCTGTAGATGATTTTTATTGGTTATTTTAGCTTTGCCACTGACATTTAATTTATAACAAAGCTTAAATCTAGGATTTTTTGGCAAGCTATAAATGTTCTTTGTTACCAGTAGAAGAGCATCATTAATCTGAGTATTAAATGTTTTAATGTATTTGTTGTTGTAATGGAGTATTCAGGTAAGGCGGGCTATAAAAGGTGAAACTGGCATAAAATGCAAATAAAATAGTTTATCATTTTGCTGACCTCTCTACTGTATAATGTACCTTTTCCTTTCTAAAGTAGAAGAGTTAACTGGCTTCTTGAGGTCCCACGTTTACAATGCATCATAGCAGAACACGGTTCTGATTGAGTTTGAAGCTCTTGATTGGAACCTCTGCATAAAGGGTCTCTGGTAACACCTAAGTCATGGTCTGCTGAGTTCAGCCTTAGGGCATCCAACCCATTTAAACTGAAGTTAAGTCGGTGATTCTGTGATAAATTACATTTACCACTGAATGTGTCAAATCTGTGCCCCTATGGAGTAACTCTCTAGCCAGTGGGGTTTACTGCAAGGAGTGATGTTTGAATCCTGAGAGACTGCTCTATGCCTCCTTAACTTATCTGTTCCAGGAAGAGTCTGAAGACCGTTGAGCAGCAGCTCCTTTGATTTCAGTAGAGTTCCAGGCGACTCACTGAAGGGCCTTCTGTCTTTGAGCTTACCTATACTCCTTGTCTTGCTCACTGACCGCCCTAGCCCTTGGTAGAGTCATAGTAGTTAGAATTAGTGTACATGTGCCATGGTGTGCCAGTATTGACATGAATGGTGAAAAGACCCTGGATTTTCTAGTGAGCATGCATTGACTTTATAATTCAAAAGAGAGAAGAAGCTGGTAGAACTGGCACTTTGCAAATGTGAGATCTTGGGTTCAGTCCTTAAAAGTGGGGACTAGGGGTATCAAACAGTAAAAATAACCTGCCAGAGTGATATCTAAGAGAATGGGGGTATGTTTGATTATTTCTCTATGTATTTGTTTAAATGTTTGTTTGAGGGTTAGTTCTTGAAGCATAGTTTTATTTGGGGCAATTCTATCTCCTAGCAAGCATATCTAAGAAGACACCAGCACTGGGCTGGCTCAGGAGTCAGTCTGGCTTGGCTGCAGCTTGACTTTCATCAGTTTGTGTAATCTAGAACAGCCTGTCAGAGTTGTGCTTGCCCTTCAGGTTTATCAGTTGCCCTTCAGAATTATCTCTTTCCTATTTATAAACCTAGTCTCCTGTCCCTTTTTTATCACTGACATTAAAACTCTTTTAAGATAGTCTGTTCTACTTTTTCTTATGTTCTATATTTGTCCAAGACACAAAACCCCTTTAGACTCCTGTCTATGAGGAGACTTCCTGCTTCTTCCCATTAAATCCTTTCACTTCACGTGAGAGCCCACCCCTCTGCCCACGCCCTCACAGCTCCCCACTTTCTTCCTTTAGCTTTTCTGAGTCTGGGTCTCTGCACACATTTGATCCTGATTCAGAACATCTTTCCATTGCAGTGAGTTGCATGTTCAAGTTCTATGTGACCTTTAAAAGCCTTCTACTCTAATGCTCAGCCCCTGCCTTGTCCCAGACCTCCCAGATAGGACTCATTTATCCCTCTTTGGAATTCCTGTAGCATTGTATCAGGACCACTCCTCAGGACCCAGACGGTCTTCCTGGCACACCAGCCTGCATGCCATCTGAAGTGCTGTCCTCCCCAGCACAGGTCTCCATTCACCTGTGTATTCCCATATGGCTAGACTCACTGCCTTCCTGCAGGTACTCAGGAGCGGGGCATCAGTGAATGGCTGTTTTATCGCTGTCATATTATCTTCCCAGTTGCTTGAATGCCAGACCATCTTTCTGTTCATCCTAGTGTCTCCTAGAGTACCTGGGCAGTAGCATATGCAGCTAATATGGACAATGCTAGGCTGGCAGTTGTCACTGTTCTTGTGAAAAGGTTACTGTGCTCTTAGCATTCTTAGTGGTCTACTGCTTAGTCTTTTAACTCCTCCACTGCTTTCACACAAGAACTTTATAGATGAATAAGTTAAACAAAGCAGTTCTTTAAAGCCAGGGAAAAAGATCATATCAACTTAGGTATTTTTATTGGTGTAGATGCCCTCCTTGTAGACAGTTGATACTGTTTAATGGCCCCTTTCTTATTGTACTGAGATGAGGAGGGGCTTGTCCTTTGGTTGCAGGTTCTGTATTAAATGATGTGAGAATTGCTAGCATTGTTCCATTCTGTGGTAAGAAATTCTCCTTCTACCATAATACTAACCGCCTCTCTGATTGTCCCCTTCCTTAAGGAGCCCTGCCTGCCCCACAATTTATAAGGATCTAATGAGATAATGTAAAAGCTCTTACCTAAACGCATACATAGTATCTTTTTAGAAACTGTTTAAGTGCTTTAAAAGAGCTATTTGCTGAAGGGGATATGATTTGATAAAATGTTCCCCGTGAAGACTTGTGTGCTAAAGGCTTGGTTCCAGCCAGTGGCTTTGCTGAGAGATGGCTGGGTTCTGAGGGTGCTAGTAGCTTCATCAGTGGGTTAGATAACCTATCCTGCCCCTTCATTCCTCTTTCTGTTTTCTGGCCACTCTGAGGGAAGCAATTTTATTCTCCTTTCCTCTGCAGGATTCTGTGCCTCCCAGTGGTGCAACTGTGGTCAGCTGGCCACGGACCTTTGATCATGAATTGACATAATTAATTTTAGTTATTTTTCTCAACAATTTTGCCACAGTGACAAAACACTGACTAATACAAGTGCTGCTGAAGTGATGTGAACCAGAGTCTATACGAGGTTCACATTGCTCCAAGCTATGTGGAGAACAAAAGAAATGTTCTATACTTGGAAAGAGGCATTATTTTGGGTATTCATAGCAGACTTGTACAAGCAAAAAGATCATCTTTCTAACTGCTAATTAACAACTCTTTGTATGTGTTCTATTTTGTTCTTGCTTGTGTGTGTGTGTGCATGTGTGCTCAGTATAAGAAGAAATTTTAAAAAATTGTTCTCTTATTTGTGTTAAAGTGTTGTACAGCAGCAGAGATGAAGTGTTGTCAGTCCATCAGTGAGGAACTGTGTAAATCTTAGCCTACATGGACCGTGAGTGCAGACCCGACACTCCTAGTTGTTCTTCAGGAAAGAAAGGAGGTGGGATAAAGGATGGGGAGTGAGATCAAGGCTTTAGAGTTGCTCTCGTCTTTCTGAACATGCCAAAAGGCGGTATTAATGTCAACTTCACTGTGTTTCTTACCTAGTTGTTATTGATGATGCAGCTTACTAGGTTTTGTTTGGTAGTTTATTTTGTTAGTTGTTGCTATGTCTTGGATTGGGTAGAGTCCAGGGTTGAATTCTTTTTTGTTCTCCAGATGTGGACTGACGCTCTCTTAGGAGTTACTGGTCTCTTGTTTATTTTGTATAATAGAGGCATTATAATTTTCTTAAAGGTTTTTAAAACATGTACACTATTCTAGTTTTCAAATTCTAATAGATTTTTCTTTCATTCTTGACACCAACTGAAGTTTTTGAGTGACCATCTGAAGCCCATCCTAGCTTTATGTTTAACTCTTAGAATTAAGCAGAGTATATACTCTACATTAACTATATGAAACGTGTCTTCTTTTTCCGAGGACTCGGGGATCGTGGTAACGTAAAGTGCTATATTAGCAGATGACATATCTTAATTTAGTGAAGAGTTTAGGTACAGAGATGTGGGCAGCAGCATTAGTGACACTAAAAGATGAAGTCCCAGTGACTAATGAAATAGCCGGAGGTTCTTCCTGCCCCTCCACCTGAGAAGGCAAGGGGGGAGGTGTTAGTATCCTGTAGAGTCCCGGAATCTTTGAAAGAGGTGCTTGTTAGAAGCTATAGCCACTTCCAGAAGCCCTGCAGGGTAAGAAGAAAGTCTGTGAGGTAATACCACAGCATCTCTTGCCCCACAGTCTTCTGCTGCTGGCAGACTCCTTTCTGAGCCACAAAGCAAGGAAGCTCAGGGAGGCAGTCCCCAGACATCATTTTCCCCAGGCACTGATCGCAACAGTAATGGGTGGGGAAGGGGTTGACAAGGCAGTAGAATAGCTGACATAGCTTCTGTTCTTTGTGGCCATCATTTCATTGTGTATTAGTGGCAGGGACCAATGAAGCTTTAAGCAATGCTTGGAATTTATGGCCTTTAAAGCCTTATGAGCCAATAAGGACAGGAGTAGAACAGTCAAACTAGTGAAGAGACTATGCTCAAAGGGACAAATGTGATGGCTGTCAATCTTTGTAAGATGTAGAAGAACAGATATAAGAGTTTATTTTGGTTCGGTAGAGTTAGGGGTAAATCACCTAGCGTGGTAGTGAATGTATAGTCAGGTGGAAATTAACCTTCAC